CGATCGCCTGATTGACAACGGAATCAATGCCGGGTGGAGAGGAGCGAGGGACCCCTGGACTATTCGGCGGGGCTGCTAGAGACTCTGCACCACGTCCGGGCCGATGTTGCGCAACTAACAGCTCACAATACCTCGTGGGTTAATGTCCAACCAACACGATGTCTTTCTTCCGAGCAGACTCTCCTGGTTGAAAGAGGCAATCAATATCGAAAACGGCAGCACCCACCAGCGCTTATACCCATTCAAATTAGTTAAATAAATAAGTCAAACAAACAGTCAAATATAGGAATTTCAGCCAGTTAAATAATTAAATATCATAAGGCCCTATATTTAATATATTTAATTAAATATAAAGTTACTTAGAAAAAAGAAAATCCGGGGCCGGGCTAATTAAAAATTAATATTCTTAACTATACTCTATAAAAGTTTATAATTAAGAATATAAATACTTAGAGCGGGATTCGAACCTATAACTCTTTATTTATAATTATAAATTTAGTATTATACTACTTAACTAAATAAATTACTAATAATTATTATAAAAAAAAAGCCTAAGTAATATAGAGCGCTAGATTTAATATTTTATTATATTTAGAAATATAAAAAACTTATAATACCCCCTTTTTTTAATATTAATAAAACTAACGAAGTTACGTATTATTATTTCTAACCCTTTATAATTATTATAATTATTATTAAAATTAATTAAATTATATATTAATCGATTCGTTATATTATAATTAATTAATTAATAATAAGTCGTACGATTTTTAATATATAATTACTATTTCGGATTACTTTATAATTATAGACCTTAACTAATACTAGCTTCGTATTATTAACTAATCTCGATAATTATAATAGCCTCCTCGCCCTTTTAAAAATAATTTAAAAAAAAAGGACTTTTATTAATAATAATTTAATATTATAAAAGGGTATAAGGCTAAAGAAGTCGTAGATCTACTTAGAGGGGGTCTTTACTTAAGAGATTTATAATAGAAATATTTAAAATAAAGTTTTTTAGTTTTATTATTACTATAACAAAATAAGTATCGTTACTTATTTTAAAATAATAATTATAAGCTTAGTAATAGCTTATTTAAAGTTAAAATACTAAATAATAAATCTAAGCTTTAGTAAGTTATTATATTTATTAAAATCTTCTAAGTATAATTTTATATTAAAGAGATAGAAACTTATTTTTAATATTATTATAAAGGGCTAAGTAATAAGAATTAAGGAATTAGTAATCGGGTATATTATTAATAATAATAGCCTATTTATAACTTTTTATAATCTTTACCTCCGGGCCCTCTTTTATTAATTAGATTATAATATTATTAATAAACTCTTATTATTATATAAAAATATAAAAAAGGAGCTAAGTAAGATCTTTATTAAAAAGAAAGATATAATTAGAATAGAGATCCGGAGGTTAATAATAAAAGTTTACTTATTATTTAATTTATAGACCTCGTTAATACGGAATATTATTATTACTATTTTTATTTACTTTTTAAACTATACTAAGTAATAAATATAATACTTTATTATTTTATAACGATAATATAGTACTTATAATAAGGCTAATATTACTTAGATTATAAAATTAATAATAAATAACTAAGAATTAAGTAACTAACTTAAAGTAGTTATTTATAATAATACTTTAAATAATAATACTTACCTAGGTTACTTATATTTTATATTATTTTATACTTATACCTAAGAAGATATTCTTAACTAAAGGATAAGGTATTATAGTTATATTCTTAACCTCGTTAATAAGGCCTTTTTATTTAATAATAATAAAGAGGTATTTAAATAAGAATTAAATATATTAATTAGTACTAAATAACTTTAAAAAGATTTTAATTTTTAGTATATAAGGGGCCCTATTAATAAGTTTCGGAACGTTATTAAATTTATTTACTCGTTATTTTAATAATATAAGGCCTTTCTCGAGGTTAATAATAAGACTAATAAGAATAATATATTTACTCTTTTTAAAAAGTTATTATAAGAGCTTATATTAACGCTTAATAATAATATAAAATAGAATTCGATATATTTTATAATATAACGCTCTTTATAAAAAAGAAAATAAATCTATACTTTCTTAGTAACTAGTTAAGTTTATAAGAATCTAAAATAACGGATCCTTATTAAAAACGTTTTTAATAATAACGACTAGTAGTTACTAACTAAGCTAAAGGTAATACTTAAGCTACTTTATTTCTAAATAATAAAATACTAAAGCTAGGGTAAAAAAGACGGTTATAGCCGTTTATAAGAAGTAATAATAAGTTTTAAATACTTTATTAATTATTTTAAAAAATAAAAGAAGTTATATAATAAACTTTTTAAAAAAAAAATAGATCTTACGGTTTTTTAAATTATAGCGTCATAATTATAATTAATATAAATAATACTACCTCATTAGTAATTAGCTCGTTATTAATTTATATTTTAACTTCTTTTTTAATTTCTAATTTTAAATAATATCCTTTATTTTATTTAGTTTAAGTATATACTTAAGGAGCGGGTAGAGCTACTTTTTAATAATAATTTTAACTTATAAAAATACTTTTAACTATTAGTTATTAATACTTAGTAAGTCTTTAATAAGTATTATACTAAGTTAGGTAACTCTCTATTTTATATTATAATAATTATTTTTTATTTTAAATAAAAATTAAAATAGTTAAAAAAGAGGTAAGATATACTTAAATAAAGCTATTAACTATTTAATATAAAAAAGGGACTTTACGATTATTAATAAAAATAGTATATAAACGAGATAGTAAGTCCTCCTCCTCCTTATTATCTAAGTCTTCCTCTTTTATTATAATAATTATAAGCTATTTTTAATACCCTTATAATTTTAAAAAATATTATAAAAAACTCGTAATATTAGTAATAATTAATATCTTAAATAATAAATATAATAATTAACTACGTACCTAAGCTTAATTAATATTACTTATAAATTATCCCTTAGCTAGTCCTTAACTTAATTTAATAATAAATTAACTATTAGCTAACTTATTTAATATTAAGTAAACTTATATTTAATATTTTTATAATCCTTATAATAATAATAGACTATAAGAGGATATTTAGCTTTATAAAGTTAATTTTAACCTTATAACAATTATTAATAAGATCCTCTATACTAAAAGAGGTCTAATATCTTAAAAACTAGCTTCGTAGTAGTACTATAAAAATAGGAAGTTAATTTTTTAATTAAAAGAGCTAATCAAAGTAAAGTTTATAAGTTAGTACTATCCCCCTAATAGAGCAATCTACTAGGGCCATACCGTATATTACGTATTAGGGAAAACTGGGTATATTACGCTCCATACCTAATTACTAATCAAAACTCCTAACCTTCCCCCGCTTCTAGCTATCTAAAGGGCGAGCTACACCCACTCTAATATACATAAGACCTCCTAGTACTAGCCCGCGTAAGTAGCTAGATCCTATATTATATACTCCTTTTTATTAAGGGTTAGGGGGCCCCTTATATATTCCCTTATATTTATAATATAACCTATATTAAAAAGATTTCTAGCTCCGTAAAATATAATTTCTAAACTAATATTAATATACTAAATCTTAATATCTATACTAGCCCGGTTATTTATAACGTTCGTACTATTACTTAGCTAAATTCCGTACTATTAAAAAGTATTTTACTACTTTTTAAATATATTTATATTAGTTACGATAGCTATAGCGTCGAACTAGCTAAGGGCGCCTAGCCCGAGAGGAGTAGACTTATTAACGGGTATCTTTAAGTTCTCGTTAAAGTAGTATTTTAACTAGCTAACTTCTTAACTAGTTATCTAACTAGCTATCTAGGTAGTAGTTTATATATTAATAAGTTTATTTAGTAAATTTATTTAGTAAATTTATTTAGTAAATTTATTTAGTTTAAATAGAGCTTTAAGTAATATTAAAAGTAATAAGGATAAAAAGAATCTTTATAAGCTCTAATACGAGTAGTAAATATTAGCCTATTTAGCCCTTTCTCTAAAAACCTCTACGTCGCTATTAAAGTTCAGAACCTCTACGGTTAAAAAAAGCCGCCTCTAACTATTACGGCCGACTATTATAACTAACTATTATAACCGACTTCTACTATCGACCTTTCTAACCGGCGCCGCTACTAAAAAGGGTAGCTTACTTATCCCAAATTATATAGCGGTTTTTATATTAAAATTATTATATTACGTTAAGCGTATACTTAGGGTATATTATGTATATTATATAGTTAAAAAGTATATTATATTGTATAATTTCCCTTAAAAGCGTAATCCCGTTAAAGTCGATCTTTTGTGCTTATAAAGCTAGAAAAAAACCACTACATAAGTTAGTATTATAAAAACTTTTATAATAGTTTTATTTAATTCCTAATTAGGAAATTAGTTAAATCTATTAATTAATTATTAAATAATTAAATATAGCACGAGAAATAAGCTAAATAATTAAATACGAACCTTATATTTGATTTATTTGTATGGGTATAAGCGCTAGCACCCACACGAGATTGATGGCAAACTGGCTATGATTACTTTGGTCTCGACCTTGAAAATGGGCGAAAGCCTCGGGTCTACTTGATCTAACCCTTGAAACGTTGTTGGAATCATTGGTACGTTGTCAAGCGACCTTCTTCTTTTCAATTTTGGATCAAGGATGTACGGGCCGGCTCAGGTGAGAGTGCTTGCGTCTGCATGAGGCGATAGACGTCGCCACCGGATCCCCCTTAATCACCATTGTTCCAACCGCGGCACCTCACTCTGCGAGCCTGATCCAACTGCTTCTTGGCGCATATCACCGCAAGAAACCTTTAGCGGAGACGCTGGAGCATTGTCTTTTGTGTCTCGCGTCCGGACCAAAATTTTACTTCCGACGGAGTGAGTCTGACACCTACCTTTGGGAGTACTGGGACGTTTTGAGTTTATCTTTTGGCCGCAAATCGAGCTCAGTTCTGCAAGATGACAAGTCCGGATTTGACTATAACGTCTTACTCAACAGACAACAAAGGACCTGGAATCATTGTTGCGATATGTATCATTGTCGGTATCAGCACTCTTTTCGTCGCCATGCGGCTGTTTGTCCGCATCAAGATTCTTGGACAAACCCATTTGGATGATCACCTTACTGTTCTTTCTCTGGTTCGTTCAATGAATTCATTCCAAGAAGCAATGCCTGAATAATGAAGATGGCCAAATGTTTAGCTGACACATCGCAACTTGGCTAGCTCCTTAGCTACACGACGATAGCTCTAGAAATTTGGGCCATTCGATGCGGTAACGGTCGGCATGCGGATACCCTTTCTCAAGAACAGCAATCCGCGGCAATCCTATCCACAATATCAGGATTTCCTCCAAACGTCCTCGCATACACTATACCGAAGTTTGCCGTCGTGGCACTCCTCATGAGGATATTGAATCCAGGAAGGATGCATCAAGTACTGCTCTGGGGCATGGCGGCCGGGTGTCTGGTGCTGGTGTCCCTCTGCATCATCATCCTCTTTGCTCAGTGCACCCCTACTCGCGCTCAATGGGACTTCAAAGTGACCGAAAAGAGCTGTTGGAGTCCGTGGGTTCTCGTAAACGTCGCGATTTTGACAGGAGGTTAGTGTTCGGTTCAGTTCACGGTGCGTTCGACGTGGCTTTCGCTAACTGCAACCCGACTAAGCATACTCCGCCGCGCTTGACCTATACCTTGCAGTCTATCCAGCGACGGTTTTGATGAGACTTCAGATGAATATCAAGAAGAAAGTGATCCTGAGTACTGCTCTTGGGATTGGATCGATGTATGACGGCAAAGTTCAATGCGTCTGTTTTTCATTATGACATGTCTGACGGAACCCTCAGCTCTTGCTTCATCTCCATTTACAAAAGCACAAGACTACCATCTCTCGCCAGCAAAGACTTCACGTGTAAGAGACACTTCACAAGCATCCTCGTGCTGACTAACAACCGACTAGATGACAGTGCGGAGCTTGTTGTGTGGACCATGTCAGTAACGAAAAGATTTGGATTGTTTAATTAGATATGTCCAGCTAACAATCTTGGTAGTGTAGAGGGCAATACTCTTATCATCGCTACCTGTATCCCAATTCTCGGGCCTCTCGTAGAGTTGGCTCTTGGGCGACGCGTCCTAAGTTCAACAGATCGAAAATATCAAAAGCAAAGTGACCCAATGGGATTGCGGTCGGGTGGAATTGAGATGAACGGGTCTCAATCATTTCCAAGGAACGGAAATGTCGTCGGCAAAACATCAACAACTATAGGTTCGCGAATTGACATGGAAGACACGAGTAGTCAAGATAGTATTGTCGGGGCGGAGACTGGACCGAGCTCTAGAGTTGTAGGGATCACGAGGAGACAGGACATCACGGTCTCTTATGAGAGCGAACGCGCCGGTCGTGATCAGAGACATATTCAAGACAACATGAGGTCAGGAAATTGGGACTCGTCCTAGGACGAGCTACTGGACGGTACTGCCATGACAGATTGATAAGCTCAAGATTGGTAGGCTTTTATCTTTCCAGTTTGGCGACCAGACGGGAGGGTATGAGGACAAGAGACGCAATAGTAGAAAACCGCTTTGTTTGAGGCAGTAGCTGGGTCAATCTCATAGACTGGAAGGTTTATCAGTTGACACATCACCACAGTATCGTATGAGAGAGACCAGACAGCTGGTGATCAGGAGCGCCCAGATAAGTGTCAGAGGTGAGTACTATACTTGATTCGACCAATTCCAACCCGCCTAGAACATCTGTGAGCTTTCAGTCCCTTTCTTCATTATAACATGGCAGTGAACTTTTCAAAGCCAGGAAGGTTTCGGCAGGGTGTAGTCAGATTCCTGCCCTTGCATCGGAATCGGACTGTGGGGTGGGGGTGGGTAATGGAGGTGGAGGTGGACGTGTTGCTGCAACGTGAATCTACCGCGTCTACGCTACTGATTTCCTCATTCAGAATACCGAGCCAGGATCCATTCTAAAAACTGTACTCCTTACGGAGGGAGTAGAGCTGCAGATGATGGACGGTTGAAGAAGCTCGCAAGCTAGCGGAAAGGTCCTGGCTATCATTCCCGACTTCCTTGACTTATACTGTCACACCACTATGCCTCCGGTATGAGATGTTTAAGTATCCCACCTATCCATGACGAACCCCTTCTTCCTCTCAGAGAGCGACTGATACTTATCAATCCTCTTCAAGTTACTGCCGGAATTCTGCTACAATGGATGCCGCAACCCCCTCAACTGCGTTCCAGCCAGATCTAAAGATACTGCCTTGGAGCCGTAGAGGGTCGTTTCTAAGCCTCAGCCGCACCACTCGACTTGCGCCTCCTCTGAATCTCGTGCCACAGACCGACCTCTACCTTGTATCTCAATGCGTCGCTTTGTCAGTACCCATGTTTGCTCTCCGGCCTCTGCCCGGGGGTCTTGGCCTAAATGAACCTCCCGGCTTCCACGACTCGCCGTCGCCGACCACCATCCAAGCCACAATATCGTCTATCCAATGGAGCTATGAGAGTAAGATCGTCTGTGAGGCAACATTTCAGGACCTGCGCTCCATTCGACTCAGAGGAAATGTACCTCTAGCCTTTGATAGCGACGCTCGATCAGACCCTAGTGTCTATATGGGGATGTACGTCTTCGAGCGTCCACCATACGATGGGCTCAAAGCTGGCGTTGAGGTCACGTACAAGACCTTCCCTGGCTACCGCTTTCTTCCCACCAAGGGAAACTTGACAACTGTCAATGGCCAGACCAACGCCTTCCGAGTCAACCGCCGTATCCAGATTCAGGGCACGGATGACGATCCGCAGTGGGAGCTCATCATTCACGAGCTCGATGTGCGTGAAAATCTGCCGCAAATGACGTGGAAAGAAAATTCGTGCAAATTGGCACTCGAGGAAGCCAAAAATACCACATTTGAGAGGATGGGAGAAAAGATGGCCAAGGAATTCGATGACTTCGTTGTCGCCATGTGCCCTTGGACAGAGGGCAAGCCAACAGAGGCCGAAGTACTTGCTAGCTATGTGACCTGGACCTCCATGGTCCGCGCAGAGCACAAGTTTACAAAAGAAGCTGTCTTGATGTCCAAGCTCTGGATGAATAAAGTCTGGAGCTGGGATCACTGCTTCAATGCGCTGGCCATAGCTGCTCTCGATCAGCAGCTGGGCCTTGACCAGCTCACCGTCGTCTTCGTCCACCAAGCGCCGGACGGTCGTCTCCCCGACTCAGTTGACTGGCAGAACGTCGAGTGGGGGTTTACAAAGCCTCCTATCCAGGGCTGGGCTCTTTCCAGGCTCCTTGCCCAATTTCCGGGCATGAGTGACGACAAAGTGCAGCCACTCTACGATGCCACCGCCAGACTGACGGACTTCTGGATGGACACACGTAGAGGTGACACCTCGCGTCTTCCGTTCTGGGCTCATGGTAACGACTCTGGTTGGGACAACTCCACAGCTTTCGACAGCACGCCAATGATCGTCGGGCCGGACCTGGCGGCTTACCTTTTTCTCCAGGCCAGCTGCCTAGAACAGGTCGCCAAACGCTTACGACACGAGAATGATTCCGAGAAGTGGGCAAATATGAGAAGTTTCTTGGTCAATGCTCTCATCGAAGAATTATGGGATGGCGAGTCTTTCCTCCTCAAGAATGCTATAACAGGCGAGACCTTCAAAACCACCTCCCTTCTACAGTTTATGCCTCTCGCTGCCGCGCGACATCTACCAGATGAAGTCGTTGACAAGATGGTCACAAGCATTGTGTCCAAGCACCTGAGCGAATGGGGTCCCGCGACCGAGGAGCTCGCCTCGCCGGACTACGAGAGCGACGGATACTGGCGAGGCCCCATCTGGGCTCCCTCGACTCATCTGGTCGAAACTGGCCTGCGTGATGCTGGACGAATTGATCTGGCCGATGAGATCAGCACGCGCTTTTTGCGGTTGTGCGAGAAGTCAGGATTTGCAGAGAACTTTGATGCTATCACGGGGGAGGGGTTGCGGGACCTGTCATACACGTGGACCTCGGCGGTTTACTTGGTCATGCGACGAGAGGCCATTGAGAGGGGAGACGCCAAATAGTTTCAGGAAATAAGGGAGACGTTTGGAAACATTGGGGTGTAAGTATCGTTGAAGCCCCGGCTGGTAGCTAGGTCATGATGTAAATGCCCTTCATCCGTAGGGACTTATTGGTTGGGATAGTAGACCAACGTTAACATTCTGTGTAGGGGCTGCGACTGTAGCCACTTGACAGGCGAAACGAGAAGAAGGAAGTATTAATCAAGTCGCGGATTTCGAACATTGAAATTGATTCTTTAGCTCAGATAATTCGCGGGGTTGATGACAAAGTGGCCGCGTGCGGATTGGTGCGGCAATCGGCTCATGCAACCGAGCACATAAACATGAGGGAATGTTGGATTCCGTAGCCGCCCAAAGCTTCCCTAGACACAACCAAGCGGACAGGCACCTGTCTGAAGTTCACCTTTCATAGTCATACTCATCCACGTTGTATATCAAAGATCTGACGAGCAATCTGTCTTCTAAAGCGTCATGTCATCCTTGCCTATGGCCTCTCAATCGGTCGAGACACCTGCGGCGACGGAACCCGCATTGCACGTGTGCAGCATATGTGATAGGAGCTTCATGCGAAGGGATCATCTGAAGCGTCACAAGCAGACTCACATCACCGAAAAGCCCATCGAATGCAACTACTGTGGGAGAAAGTTCGCGCGCAGGTAACGTTGTCTCGTTCTTTTCAGACAGCTATCCATCTTCCCGGACCCTATCACCTGAAATCGTTTTGTCCATTTCCACGCCAGGTGCAGTTGACGACTGAGAAGCGTCCGACCTATATTCTTATGTCCCTTGTACAAGTTGGTCGTATCCCTAACAATTCTTTCATAGAGACGCAGCGCGACGCCACGAGCAGCTTCACGTCGGCCCAAAGCAGCCGGGCTTGAGAGGCTCCACGGCCTCATCTCGCCTCCTCAAAACATGCTCATTCTGCGCCATCTCACATATCAGGTGCTCCGGCGATTTTCCATGCAGTCGCTGCGAGGAAAAGAGTCTCCAGTGTCAATACAACCCCCCTCAACGTAGATATACTAGCTACGAGGATGAGACAACATTATCAATGGGAACTCTTAGCCATAGTCAGCAAGGATATCACCCTCGACTAGATGATGGATTGCCGGCGTTTCAACGCGGCGAGCGATATCACTCTCAAAGAACTGGTTGCTCGGGCAGTTCCCAATCTTATCCAACCAGGTCAAGGCAATCCCCTGATCAAGGTACTTGGAATGAAAAGCAGAGCACAGGCTCGAACCTGGACAGAGACGCGAGTTCTTACATCCAGGACATTGGAGGAAGTCACGAGACCGAGAATGATGCTGGAATAGAGATGGATATAAGCCTCCAGGACTGCGACATGGCGCCATGGGAGGAGCCGGCTGTCAACGTAGGCCACGCTCATGTTCATCAGCCAGTCGTGCCCCAAGATGTCGCTACGACCAATGATTCCATTGCACGATCTCGGATTACGGTTACCTCACAAACAGACATTCGATCCATTGCGGGAAATAGTACCTCCAGCCCGAGAGGTTCGAACTTGGTCTCAGATCTGGATGAATCCTCCCTGAATCATCAAGATCAGATGTCAGCGTTCATCACATACATGCGCGATGGATCAACAGCCACAGATACTTCGTCTCTTGATAGAAGCTATGATACGACCAGCCACAGACAGCTCTACGTAAATGGCCGTGGTTTTCGCCAGTCGCAGGCCGACCGTGGCTTTCAAGAAAGACATGCTACTGTTCTGCGACGGGGAGTACCCGACCACGACTCTCATCCTGGTGCTTCTTGGTTGGCGGTGCTTCTGGAGGAAATCAAACAAACAAAAAGTCAGCAACAAAAGTCTCGCTTCACTATTCCAGAGTCCGTATACCAGGAAATACAAACGAAGCTGCTATCAGGTGCCGGAAGGCCTTTGCTGCCCGAAAGGTTTAATGCAGATTTGGATGTTCTTCTTGGCCGAGATACGTTTGAACACCTTATTGAGCAGTACTTTGAACATTTCCATCACTTGCACCCATTCGTCGACAGGTCCCTTCTCAGCATTCCTGTCTGGGGTTGGAGTCTGTGCATTGGGGTTGCAGCTATTGGATCCCGTTATCTGAGTCTCCCCAATTTGACCGACTTTGGCGAGCAACTCTGTAGCGCTTTACACGACCTGCTGTTACGTGAGGTAGGTCTTCTACAGTTCCATTAGTAGTTTGCTTAATCCACGTCATAGCTTACATGAAATCGGTTTCATAGTTAGATTTTGGTCGTGTACAAGACTGTCTTCCTTACATACAGGCTCGAACACTCGCTGCCGTGGGTATGTGCCAAAGCCGTACCAACCCGCTGGTCAAATGTGGCTATAGCGCCATCTCTCTCGTATACAATTCCTGTCTTCAACTACAGCTCCTTGAAGAGGATGACAAAATTGGGCTCTATGTCGAAGGCCAGAGCGTGGAGCAAGTGTGGCTGGCATGGCGCTTTCGTGAAACAAGACGACGAACTGGACTTTTCATATGGGTAAGAATAGCGAGAATACCTGCTATTACCACCCTTTGTCTGGCCGGAAATGACTGACATATATGATGTTTGGAGCTTCTCGATGCTTGGCTTGCATTAGCTGCGAACCGTCCTCCAAGTATACCGTCTAGCAAACTGGCGCTCAAAATGCCCAGCGCCGAAGGTTTGTGGGAAGCAGACTCCGCTCAAAGCTGGTCTAAAGCATTCGCTTCTCCTACCATCACGAAGAGTGGAGTGGACGCAATTCTGTCGGAGGAGTCTCTCCGACTAAGTGTGCGAAGTTCATTCGGCAAGCTCTGGAGCAGTCAGAGCTCTCCTCAACCTGAGAATCAACTAGGAGTCATCATCATGATACATATGCTGCTTCGCCGGAAATGGGATATGGTACAGTATTTCAGTGAAGCAGTACACCTCAAGATTACCTACAGTCATAAACTAGGCGGAAGAGAGGCGCAGCAGCAACAATACCTAGGCTCCATACCTGAGTACGCTGAGTGGAGGGACTATACCTGCGACTGCCTGGACCTTCTTCATTGGGACGCTATTGGCTTCATATCACAGCAGTCCATGTTTGAGAGTCCATCAATCCTACATCTGCACCTTTCCCGCTTACTCATACTGGCACCTGTCGAGGCCCTCCTGCGGTGCGCTCAGACAACCGCAGCTAGTACGTCCATTGACAGCCTGCCTCATTCGATATACGCATCATCCGAAGATCGGACTACATGGCATACTACAATTCTCTCCTGGGTTCGAGAGGACATGTATAAAGCCCGCCTAGCTGTTATCCACGCTGGTGCTGTCCTTTGGCACGTTAGGCGATTCTCCTCCCACCCCATCGTGGAACCATTCGCAGTCTTTCTGGCAGCGTTGACCCTCTGGGCTTTCGGAAACTTTGGTCCTCGACGTGAACATACTTGCTCCAGCTTGACCTGCAGCCAACACACAGAGCGATTTCCCTCGGGCGAGACTCCTTCGACTATCGGCCCATCTCCTTGCGTAGATTCATCCGACACATCGTCACCGGCGACTGGCAACTCCAGCATAAATATGAATCATTCACAAAACCGTCGTCCTGCATCGACACGCTGCGAGGTATCCTTGACAAAGCGTCGCATGCCACGCATGTTACAGCTCGATCGCCCGCTAGACGATGAGTTTGTGCAATATTTCATCCGATATGGCGGTAATACTCAGCTCTTTCTTGAAGGTGTCGATGATCTGTGCTCTGAGGAGGGTCCCGCCGAGATTCTGCAAGAGGCATCAAGGATCTTGATTGAGCAGCCCATGTTTTGGACCATATCGGCGGGTTATGCGGCTCAGCTGGACGTAATCTCAGCCAACACTACATGTAATACTACTACCGAAGATGTAAGGGAACTTCTTTCATGAGCGAAGAGTTAATCTCACAGATCAAACTCTCATGTACTTGGCAGAAGAAAGGGATCAGCGCCAATCTTGATTGAATGTTTGAAGCAGCAAAAGTTGAATTTCTAAACACTATCAGCTCGATTGTAAATGAAGTCATAGCTATCTCTTGTTTCTGATCCGGAAGCCATTCGTGTCTACCGGGCCCACTCATGATGAAAGTCGTTGAGGCGCCTGAACTGGGCATGCCCAGTATCTAGACAACGTCTCGCATGCTGTCCCGTATGTGCCAAACAAGTAAACCTCCAGACCCAGACGACGCCTCCAGAGGCATGACTCTGTGTAAGTCCAGGGTAGCAATATTGTTCTCCACTTCAGACGCAAGAACCCTGCCAATGGCGTGGCGGCGGGAGCACAACTTTTGCCCCATTTGTCGGAATGCGTCGTGGGGTTACTGGTGCGTCAGAGAACCTCAAAAATCGTCTGTGGTTGTCGGCATATTCTTCTGCGACCATAAGCGAGCGAGGCAAGACAGGTTGATCCGACATTGCTTGGTATGTTCTGAGTTTGGAGGATCCTAACTGTAGTCTGACCCGCTTAGCAATATTCTCCTCGACCACGGAGCAGACCATGGATGCAATTGCTCGTCAAGTCGCCCGTTTGGGTCAGTAGTATGACATGGGGTCCTACCTACAGTCCCCAAGCCTCACCTCTGCCTCCACCCCCACCTCCACCTCCACCTTCGGTATAGAGGGTACATCTTGAGCATGGGTACGAAACATTTCAGGTGTCTAGATTCAAGAACATGTGACCATGATCACTACCGTTTGGCTCCAAGTGTTCAGGACCAGTGAGCTAATGCAAGTCGGACTTCGGTAATTGTGGATTCAATAATGCCACAAGCCGGGGTGCTGCCCTTACATAGACCAGACGGATGAGCTTGAATCGGACCCCAGATCCGGCGGCTCGGCCCAGCACCGAGACTTCACCTTAGCATCACGCCGGGACAATCTTCTTCCGCCAGGTAGGGAGGTAGGGCGAAATTCAATCCGTTCAGACATGAGATTTTTTCCATGTGCCTATATCGATCTGGAAACGATTTCCCCGCAATCACAACTCTTGCGCTCTCGCCATTGATTCAGATGTCGGCAAAGAGAGGCCAAGCTGGGGGCAGGATTCGATCGAGTGAAGGCAAGAACTTAGGCAAAAGAGCAGAGAGAGAGGAGCTGAACTGATGACACGATATCTTACTGCTACCTTGAAGGCAAACGCTGAAATGAAAAGATTGCGAGCAGCATTATAAAAAGCCCTTGATTTCTGGGGATCACGGCAATATCTCCCTTCGTGCATCAGCAAATAGCAGCATCTCACCAGTCAAGCTTCTTCTCAAACGATCTGAAGACACATCCTCGTTCACAGCTCGAGCTCTCATTATGATGTTGCGCGCCGTTGTATGCTTGGTCACGACTGTGACTGCCATGACTTTGACGCGTCGTGATGTCAGTCCGGACGCCATCTCTGTCGTTAACCTCGCAGTGGACCGTGGGGAGTCTCAACATGGCGCCTCGGGTGTCCTTTACGGCCTGCCCCTGGAACTGAACCAGATCCCTGATAAGTGGTTTATCGACATGGATTACGGTTATTCGCGCGGCGACGGCTCCTCGCTGACAGCCGGAGGCCACGCGTGGATTACTTCGTTTGATGACTACAAGGTATGTAACCTGCGCTTTTGTTGTATGATCTTATTCCACTCAAGAGAGAGCGCTAACGGTGACAGGTCCGCATGAATGGCGTTATATCCAACTACCGTATCGTACGCAAGTACAATGGCACATACACGACCTGAGCGACCTCTGGGGTGCCGATGGCGGCCAGCGTGAAACAGACGGGCCCTACCCCGGTGATGGCGGCGACTGGACCCAGTGGGACGAGTTTCTCGCCCAAGTTGTCAAGGATCTGCGCGAGAACGACGCTCTTGAGGGCATGTCACTCGATATCTGGAACGAGCCCAACGGTGAAGTTTACTAGGACCGACCTCAGGCTCAGTACCACGAAGCCTGGGCCCATGCCTATGCCTACTTGCGCAAGGAGCTGCCCGACACTAAGCTTGGTGGTCCTGCCGTCAATACGGATCCATCTGTCTTAAACGAGTGGTGGACCAACTTTGCCTCCTTCCTTCAGGTCAACGGCACCATTCCCGACGAGTGGGAGTGGCATGTCCTGGGCAACCCGGACTTTGAGACATCTCGTAACCTCTTGTGGGAACTTCTCGACAAGTATGGTCTGCCCCACAAGCCCATCAACATCAACGAATACGCCCTTGACAGCGAGCAGACCCCTGTCTTCAGCGCTTGGTACATTGCCAGCTTCGAGCGGATCGATGCCAAGGGGGCCCGGAGCTGTTGGATTCTCGCCTTCCAGGCCTACGATATGCTGAGCGGTCTTCTGACCAAGCCCGGTGGTGGTGACGCCAACGTCTACGACCCCAAGAACCAGGATTACAGGGCAACTGGTCAGTACCTCGTCTACAAGTACTACGGCACCGGGATGCAGGGTCACCGTGTTGAGACACTGCTGTCTGCCAATAAGGACTTTGATGTCTACGCCACCGTCGAGGGCAACCATCTCAAGATGCTCTATGGTTCTCGCCGTCAGACTGGTGAGTCAGCCATCCGTGTCAACAACCTCGACATCATCGGTCTACCATCTTCTGGCGAGACCAAGATCAAATTTTTGGCATTCCCTTTCCCTGGTGGGCTCGAAAATGGCCGCTTTACACCTGTCGACGAGCCCGTCGATGTGGGCACCTTTGATGTATCGTACAACGATAACTTCATCCAATTCCCAGTTTGGCCCAGTGATGAGTTCACTGCCTACGCCTTTGAGATTGTTGGATCTCAGTAAAGAGCCCATAAAAATTCTATGGACATTTTTGGGGGCAGCATCATGGATGTGTGGCTTATTAATAAAAGCTTTGCAAGGAATGGTTGATTCTTTTAGGCGACGACGGCCTATCACATGTCGCTGCTGAAGAAGTTGCGGAGATTCCTTATCTAATCTTATTAGTATCCCTATTATAGAGTAGTTAGTTCGAACCGTGGGTTAATAAAGAGATTAATTAAACTATATAAACTTTTATATAAATATAAAAAAGAAGTTTTAATTATAAATTAAGCTAGTTATAATAATTATAAATAGGGCCCCTAATTAGCCCCTATATAATTAGCTATATACTATAGTTAAATTAAATTTTTAATTTAATATTAACTTTTTTTTTTTATTAATTTATTTATTATAGTTAGAGGTATAATTTAACCTTAGGCCCGTTTACTAAGTTATTTTTTTTTTTTTTTTTTATTCTTTTTATATAACCTATCCCTCTATTTATATATTAACTTTTCTATTACTTATAAATTACTTTAACCCCTTATTAAATATTATTTTTATAAAAATATTAGCGAGGTTATTATTATTATTAATTTAATAAATTTTAAAAATCTCGCGCTTTTTATATAATTACCTAACCCCCCGACGGAGTAATCCGCCGGGGCCGTACTATATATTACGTATTAGAAAAAACTAAGTATATTGCGCTCTATACTTAATTACTAATTAAAATAGTTAACTAACTCGACCGTTATTTTTTTTTTATTAAAAGCAGCTCCTAACCTTTTACTACGTAATTCTAGCCGCTTATAAAGCGAGCTTTACTTACTCTAACGCACATAGGACCTCTTAGTATTAGCCCGCGTAGGTAGCTAGGTCTAGTATAATCTATTCTTTTATATAGGTATTATTATTACCTAGGGGGTCCTATAAGAGCTATTTAAAGCGCTAGCTTATTACCCTAACTTTATATACTTCTAGCCCGTTTATTATAACTATTATAACTAAGCTAGTATTAATATACTAAATCTTAATATCCGTACTAACTTAGCTATTTATAGCGCTTATAATATTACCTAGTTAAATTCTATACTATTAAAAAGTACTTTACTACTTCTTAAGTATATTTACGTTAGTTATAATAGTTATAGTATCGAGCTAGCTAAAGAGGGTACCTAGCCCGAGAGGGGTAAACTTATTAATAAGTATTTTTAGCTTATTAATTACTAACTATATACTAAGAATAGAGTAGTAGTTTGTATATTAATAGGTTTATTTAGTAGATTTGTTTAGTAGATTTATTTAGTAAATTTATTTAGTTTAAATAGAGAGTAGCTTTAGGCAATATTAGAAGTAATAAGGATAAAAAGAATCTTTATGAGCTCTAGTATAAAGAGTAATAGATATTAGCCTATTTAGCCCTTTCTCTAAAAACCTCTACGTCGCTATTAAAGTTCAAAACCTCTATAGTTAAAAAAGGCCGCCTCTAACTATTATAGCTAACTATTACGGCCGACTATTATAGCTAACTATTATAGCTAACTATTATAGCTAACTATTACGGCCGACCTTTATTATTAACTTTTTTAACTAGCGCTACTACTAAAAAGGGCAGCTTACCTATCCTAAATTAAATAGTAGTTTTTATATTAAAATTATTATATTACGTTAAGCGTATACTTAGGATATATTACGTATATTATATAGTTAAAAAGTATACTATATTATATAATTTCTTTTAAAAGCGTAATCCCGTTAAAGTCGATCTTTTATACTTATAAAGCTAGAAAAAAAACCACTATATATAATTACTTAAGAGCTATAATATTAATTATAAACCTCTTTTTTTTTTTTATTCCTAATTTAATAAAATATTCGTATAATAAATAAAAATTAATATAAATAACTATTTAAATTAATAAAAAATTAAGTTAATTAGTAATATTTTTTAGTATTATTAAAATTACGTAAGTAAAGTTAACGCCGTTAATTATATTATAAACTTTTAATATTAATATACTTCTTATTACTTACTTATTTTTAATTAATAAGTAATAGATTATATTATTATATATAGTAAATTTACTCTTATTTATACTCTTATTAATTAAAATAATAATATATTTTAATTACAAAATAAGGTCGTTATTATTTATAAATAACTTATTAATAAAAATATAAAGCTTATTAATAATAAAATTAATTAGGTAATAAACAAGGCCTCGATTAAGATTTAATTATTACTATTTAAGTTATTTATTAAGTATTTTAATATCTTGTTTATTTAGTTTTATAATTTATACTATTCTTATATAATTAAAAATTACTTCGGGTTAATAAATACTCGTAATATATATTCTTTATACGAGCTTAGCTTTATACTACTTTTTAATATTAATTACGTTTAGGTTAACGAAGTTAATTTTCTTACCCTACCCCTTTTATTAAAAAATAACGGTTTTTTTTTTAATTATAAAAATCTTATTATTAAATATTAATAAGTTATTTATTATAAGGACCTTTTTTAGCTTTATTATAAAGCCCGCTTTTTAAAGCTCTTTATTTTCTTTTTTTATAAAATTAATATTAAATAAGCTTAATATATTATTAGTTTATATTTTAATAATTTTTAAATTATTCGCTTTTATACTTAAAAATTAATAAGTACGAGTTATATATAAATATAATTATTAATAATTAATTAATATAAAAATCGTAATACGTAGCTTATTAATAAGTACCCGATTTTACGAGCCTATATAGTAATTTAAATACTTTAATAATCGTACTTTTTAAATACTTACTAACTATTTCTTTTAATAAATTAGCTAGGATTTTCTTTATAAGCCCTATAGCTAATTAAGTATAGGCCTAAGTAATATTATAGCTCTAAATCTTATATCCCTTTTTTTATAATAATACTATTAGTATTATTATTAATTATTAGCTATAGCGCTATATTATAAATAATTAAGTAAATAGCGTCGCTTTTTTAATATTACCGTACTTCTAAATTATATATTTAGATTTTTTATATAGTTAAGGTATTCCTTTTTCTTTAATTTTACGTACTATTTATAATTTAAATATATAAAAACTTTTATATTTTTTAAGGTTATAGAAGATAAATTAATAAACCCCTCGATTGCGTAAAGTATTTATTTTAATAAGATCTAATCCCTTATACGGTTTTTTAATAATTATAATAATACCTTTTTTACGTAGTTTAATTACTAGCTTAAAATCGGCTTTCTCTTTTATTATATAAAAAGTATTAATTACCTCGTTATTAGTAATAAATTACTATATTAGGGCTTATTATCGTAGTTTTTTATAACGTTTTATTAATAATATTAGTACCTTTTTAATAATTTCCTCTTTTTTATTATTTATTAATATTATTATAACAATTTTATTAAAAATAATTTCTTATACTTTTACTATAAGTTATATAGTTTTCCTTAGTTCTTTTTCTTTTTATAAATTAAAAATTACTTTAATAAAATCCGTATAATATAGTTTAATTATAGTAATTAATATTTTAAATAGCTAATTATAATTTTTTATAACTACGTAAGACTGCTTATTAATAAAAATTAATTTATATAGCTTAGCTTATTATTAAGTAATTTCGTACTAAACTCGTATATTTAAATTTAAAAATATATTTAAATTAGCCCTTATATTAGGCTTATTACGTATAGTAATTACTTTATTAACTTATTCTTTTATACTTATTTTACGTAATACCTATATTACTTTTTTAATTACTTAGGCTCGTTAGCTTATATTTAATAATAATAATAAGGCTAAAGTCGTTCTTAAGTATATTCTAAATATTTATAGTATTAATATAAGCTTATTAAGCCCTATAATATTATTATAGTACTTAAGTATTATTTAAAAGTATATATTATTAATAAAATCGGGATTCTTTTTTTAATAATCCTAAACGCCCTTTTTAATTATTAATATACCCTTTTTACTTTTTTAATATTATAATACGCTTTTATAAATACAACTTTTAGTTATATATTATAAGCCGTCGCATTTTCTTTAAATTTTATTAATTTAAAACTCGTATTAATATCGGTTTTAATACTATCCAGCGGTCCTTAATATATATTAATTTAGCTTTTTTATAAAACTACTTATATTATTTTTATTTATAAATCCCGGAGGAATTACCTTATTTAAAATAATATAACCTCGTTAATTATATATAGGATTAGTTAACTATTTAAATAGAAAATATTAATAACGATTTTTTAATTAAAGTTAAGCTTATTACGTAATTTAAATTTAAATTTACGTAGGCTCTATATATTTATTTAATATTAATAGTATATTTTTATTAATTATTTTAGCGCCCTTATTTTAATATTATTATTACTTAATTATTTTAAGAAGCTATATAGCCTCGTAACTAACGAGTACTCGAATTTTTAATATAGTTATCTAAGCTTATTTTTTATTAAGTAATTAATTAATTTTATATTATTAATAAGCTTTATAAACGTATACCCCTATTATTATTTAACTATTTTGAAATACTTATTACTAAAAATTCTATTCCTCGTATTATTAAATATAATACCTAGTCGATTTATATTTTTTAAGTATAAGAGAAATAAGGTATTAATAAATAAAATATAAAAGGTTATCGTTCTAAAATACGTCTCTACTTTTATTATACTTAGGGTAACGATTTCTTTACTTAAACTAAAGCTAATTTTTATAATACTTATTATTAACGTATTAAATATTACTAATATAATTTTTTATAACGCTTAGAATTACCCCCTTTTTTTTATTAACTATTATAATACTTTAGTATTTAGGATAATCCTATAAAAATTATTTAAGCTATACTTTTTATTTATATAAAATACTTATATAAGCTTAGTATTTAAATAATCTAAATAATATAAAAAGGACCCCTCTAATTACTCCTAGAATTACTTAGTACTATCTTTTTTTTTTAATATTAATAAAAATAATATCTTCTCTTTAAGTAT